TTAGTATAATAAACTTCATTGGAAATTTGCCAATATAAAATTTTGCTGATGAAGGTTTTTTGTTTACCTTTAGTCTGACTATGATGTCATTTTCTATTTTAATAGCCTTATGATGTAGTTAAATTTTTTTTAATACTTTTATGATGTATTTTAATGCGCTTTTATGGTTGCAAATTTATTGTTTTAATATAATAAACTCCATTGGAAATTTACCAATAGTTTGTTTATTTTTAGCTATGACTATGATGTCATTTTCTATTTAATTTTAAGGTTACAAATTAATTTCAGTTTTAAATATTATTGTAAAATGTTTGCCCAAAACATTTATTAATAAGTGGCCAAAAAAGGGGGCAAAAATAAGCATTTTTTTAGTTTCCAGACATTAACTTGTGTTCAAGTGTATGGATTTCTCTGAAATTGTACTTAAAGGTACCATACCACAAAGGGAAGTGGGTCACAAAATTTTTTTGGGGGGGGGGGGATTTTTTTTCCTTTTTTTTTTCTTTAAAATTTTCCATTTTAAGTTGGTTAATTCTGATCACAAAGAGAAAGTTGGAATTGAGTTTGGGGGATAATTGCTCAAATGTTTAGGAATAAGGGGCTAAAAAAGGGGTTAAAAATAAGCATTTTTTTTAGTTTCCAACAATTAATTGTGTTTAAGTAATTGGATCTCTGTGAAATTGTACTGCAAGGTACCATACCACAAACTGAAGGCTGGGATTGAGTTTGGGGGGGGGGGGGGCGTGATGTGTGAAAATTTTCCACTTAAAGTTGGTTAATTATTTCTGATTTAGATATAAAAGCAAATAATAATGATGTGGTTTGATTTTATCAAAAACTTGAATTGAAGTTATGTATATTGTAAATTTAGGTTACATTGGAATTTAAGAATTGGCTTTGGGGTAGGGTTATGGCTCAAACCTTTAAATAATAAGGGAAAAAAAGGTGAAAAAACAAGGGTTTCCAGGTTAATAGACAAATAAGTACAAAACATTATTTAAAAGCAGTGTAAGGTTGGTAATTCAAACTCATTTAAATATCTCACTTACACTGCTTTTGAATTATGTAAATTGGAAATTTGCCAATAACTTTATTGTTAATAAATGCATTGGAAATTTGCCAACAATTTTAGTATAATAAACTTCATTGGAAATTTGCCAATATAAAATTTTGCTGATGAAGGTTTTTTGTTTACCTTTAGCCTTGACTATGAAGTCATTTTCTATTTTTATAGCCTTATGATGTAGTTGAATTATTTAATACTTTTATGATGTGTTTAAATGGGGTTTTATGGTTGCAAATTTATTGTTTTAGTTTAATAAACTCCATTTAAAATTTGGTAATAAAAAAAATTTTTGTTTATTTTTAGCTATGATTATGATGTCATTTTCTGTTTTACTTTTATGGTTGCAAAGAAATTTTTATTTTTAGATATTACTGTTAAATGATGCTGATTAAGGTTTTTGCTATGTTTAGCCATGACTATGATGTCATTTTCTATTTTAATATCTGTCATGATGTATTTAAATGGGCTTTTATGGTTACAAAGGAATTTTATTTTTAGATATTACTGTAAAATGTTGCTGATTAAGGATTTTGTTTATTTTTAGCCATGACTATGATGTCATTTTCTATTTTAATACCTTTATTATGTAATTTCCATTTTTAGATATTACTGTTAAATGATGCTGATTGAGGGTTTGAATGCTGGGATTGATTTTGGGGGTAATTGCCTCCAAATTTTAGGAATTAGGGGGCAAAAAACAAGCATTTTTCTAGTTTCATGACAATAACTTGTGTGTAAGTGTATGGATATTTATGAAATTGTACTACAAGGTTCCATATCACAAAGGGAAAGCTGGAATTGGGTTTGGGGGTACTTGCCCAAAACGTTTAGGAATAAGGGGCCAAAAATAAGCATTTTTCTAGTTTCCAGACAATAACTTGTGTTCAAGTGTATGGATCTCTCTGAAATTGTACTGCAAGGTACCATACCACAAAGGGAAGGCTGGGATTGAGTTTGGGGGTGATGAATCATAAGGGGGTTTCAAAAAATTTGGGGGGGGGGATTTTTTTTTCCTTTTTTTTCTTTAAAATTTTCCATTTTAAATTGGTTATTTCTGATTTATATATAAAAGCAAATAATAATGATATGGTTTGAATAGGTAAATTAAAAAATTTTAAGTTCTTAGACTACTTTCATTCTGTGTGAGAAACCTATGCTGTGACAAATATTTAATTACAATCCAAATTCAGTGCTGTATCAAGCTTGAATGTTGTGTCCATACTTGCCCCAACTGTTCAGGGTTCGACCTCTGCGGTCGTATCAAGCTGCGCCCCAGCGGAGCATTTTATTCATATACTGTAAGCAATAGGTAAACTATATTTGGTGAATGGAATGATTGCATGGTGTACATGTTGTCTGGCATGGTTCATCTGACCTTGACCTCATTTTCATGGTTTATTGGTCAATGTTAATTTTTCGTTATTAGGTCTGTTTCTCTCTGATACCACAAGCAATATGTTAACTATATTTGGTGTATGGTATGATTGTAAGGTGTTTATGTCTGTCTGGCAGGGTTCATTTGACCTTGATTTCATTTACAATGATCATTGATAATGTTAATTTCATTTGAAAATTATAGTAAAAACTTTATATTACACTTTTAACATTAATTCAATCATGATAAGTAAAGTAGGCGAGACATTTCAGCATTTACACTCTTATTAAAAGAAAGGCCAGGCGAATTTGTTCTGAATAATTATATGTCTATTAATTAGTATCTAAGATATACTTTAGTCGGGTGGGGGTATTGTATTTGTTATTTAGAATTGAGCATTCAACTAGCTTTCAGCAACTGCGAATACTCACAGGTTGGTGCTATGTGTCGTTTGTCTTTTTAACTTGTTAGCTGTGTAGTGGTTAGTATTGATCTGACGTAAGTGAACTGATTTTTACCATTTGTATTATGTTGTGCTCATATTAAAGTCTTCCTAGAGGCCAAAGGACTTAGGCTCGTTTAGCTACATCTGAAAATCGAAAACAATAATGCTTTTATCTCTTTTATTTTCTGAAATGTAGTAAATGTTTGTATAGAAAGCACGTTCTTTAATTTGCCTTAAAATCATCAAATTTCAAATCCATATAATATATGGTGTTGATACATAAATTTCCATTTTATTGTCGAGCCTGCGACATTTATGTCGCAAAAGCGAGACATAGCGATCCTAGATTCCGTCGTAGACGGCGTCAACATTTAGGTTCAGTCTGTGGTTAAAGTTTTTTTTTTAGACATCAATAACTTTGTCAAAACATTCATGGAATTTTAGGAAATTTGGACTGAAGCTTGGTTATGACCAAAATACAGAGCAAAATTTTGAAAATATTTATTTTAATATTTCAATATTTTACTGATAAATTGACTTATTATTTTACAGTTAACAAGTAGATACAGTCTGACGTTAAAGTTTTTCAATCACCAATAACTTTGTCAAACCTCCATGCCAGGGATATTTTAGGAAATTTGGACAGAAACTTAGTTATGACAAAAATACAGTATTCAGAACAAAATTTTGCAAGTATTTATTTTCATTTCTCCGTATTTAACTGATAAATGGACTTAAGTTTTTTTTTACATTTAACAAATAGATACAGGCTTGGGTTAAAGTTTGTTACACATCAATTACTTTATCAAACCTTCATAGAATTTCATGAAACCTTGGCAGAAGCCTTTTTATTATTAAGAGATAATGTCTGAAGCAAGTAAACTTTTACACTGACAGCAGCTGAATCGAAGGCGAGACACACAGGGTTTCGCGAAAACCTTTACGAATTTTTGTGATATAAAATAATCATATGGTCACTAAGAAAACTTAGTTACAGACCTTTTATATTTTGTGTGCGGGATGCACATTTCATTCTTGCTGACTATACGGTAAGGCTTATGCATGAAGCAGGTTCCGAAAGAAATAGAGAATGCTAAATATTTATTTTATTGTCCATTCTTATGTACAAGGATTTATAACTAACATACGTCCTTGGTATGTATTTCCGAAGAATAATTGCAACTGTGCCACCACTTGTTTTAATATACATTCATTTGAACAATCCACAGTTCCGAACCCGGGCTTAAAGATCCTTTAAAAAATTGTGGACATGCCTTGATTTTGATAAGATGTACTATGATTTTAAGGAGTATAAATGTACTTAAATGGCATTATACTCATTTAAATAACTATTTTGAGGTATTAAGTTCATATGATAGAGGATTTAAATAGTCAAGCCAACCCCTCCCATGGGGCATATCTTGTAATCCCCAAAATCGGGATAGTTGGCATAACTGACTTAGACCACTCGACCATCTTAGCATATTCAAGGATTTGGCATATTATATGGAATTTTTATTTTGAAACAAATTCTTGTGGAATATGCTTTGTGTACATAGAAATTGTTTTGCAGGAATTTGACTGTACAATATGTTTTACTTACCTATTCGTTTTAGTATAACTACTAACCAACCTCTACGTGGTAAAGCTCAATGTACTCCAACTATTGGAGGAAGATATAGAGGAAAGGAGAAGGTTCTAGTGAAAGAGGTCATAATAGAGAACAAACTAAGAAGACTCATAATGATATTGCATTTCTTCCTGCTTATCAATTGTTTTCTTTATCAAGTTATAGGTTAATATTGATAAACAAGAGACGAACATGTTTCTTGTTGAGACACAAAATGCATATAGCTTTTCCTAGGCCTTAAAACTTTCCCAACTGCACAAGTTTACACTCAGAGTTTTTGAGGTGTAAACAGTTGTGTAGCCATTGTTGTCCATTTGTTATGATACAACTTATGATAAGGACGTCTTCCTGTTGAAGGAAGAATAATTGAAAAAACAATTAAAAAATAGCCTCAATAGACATCACAATGATTGGGCTAAATCTAATCATGAAAATGATTAACAGCTGGGACTGGAAACTATTAAAGATCTCTGTCTCTCATAAGATGCCCGTAAAAGACTGTATTTTGTTGCATTTCTCTGTTCAAACAAGGGTCTACTATTTTTCTAACTCTTCTCAGGACTGCTTATTGATTTTGCTATAAAAAGATGTATGACATTAGAAAAAACATCAAATGATTCTCTTTATAACACAGAGTAAAAAACAAAACCTTTTTGATAAAAATATCTTAATTTTTACAATTTATAATAAATAAACCCTCAAAACAGTATTTTTTTTTCTTTAACAACAAAAAATGATACCAAACAATACAATGTAAAAATGAATTTTCAGTATAACCTTTTGAAGTACTTAGGGATTTTACTGGAAAATCAATCAGCTTTCATTATAAGAATAAGACAATCATTGTTTTATTTTTGCAGGCAGATATGTGGAAACATTTGAACAGACTCCTCTGAAACAAAGATTTTTGGATGTCCATGATGAAGTAAAGAGTTATCAAGGTAGCTGAAATTGGAGACATTTTTTATTTAAGTCAGAAAAAGTTCTTGGTTATGTAGTGTATATTATCATTTGTTTGTAGAAGAGATTGATCAGACTTCTACATTTGTTAATGAATGCCAGTTCATTTCTGCATGTTTAAAAAGGGCTACTGTTTGATATATACATTCAGTTTATGTTCACCATGACACCAAAACCATATGTATTATGATAAATAGCTGAATATCTGAAAATTTTGATTTTATACTTGCAAATTTGCCAAATAAATTATAAATTCAGCAGCATTGTGTTTAAATATTGATTACAGAAAGTAACCCAACTTGGAGCTATTTGTTTTATTAAAAATCTGTCATTTGACATCTGGGTTTATATTTATGATTAACATGCTAATAAAATTTATAATTTAATTCATAGAATTGAACAATTACATGTATTTTTAGAAGTAGCTAATGCTATTATTAACCTGTCTGTCAATGGAAGAGCAAGAAATCAGTCCTATGATAGACTAGCTACTTTTGTTGACACGTTTGGTAGCAGAATAGCTGGCTCACAGAACTTAGAGAATGCTATTGGTAAGGATTTAAATGTTGATAAATGTTGAGTTACTTAGACTCTTTGAATTAAATACTTCAGTTCTTGAAATGAAAGTTATTTTCTCTTTTGTTTCTTCCTATTGATTTTAACTTTGAATTAGAATTTACAGTAGATTTATGTAATATTATTTAGAGAGCATTACCCCCAAATAACACAAAAACGGATGTCAAAATTTGTCTTTCGTTTTTGTCTCGCCTTGACGGAGTCAAAAAGCGAGACATAGGTATGCTGTTTCCGGTGTCGGCTGCGGTGGTGGCGGCGGCGTCAACAATGTATTAGTTTGTGATTAGGTCTAGTTCTTGTTGAACCACTAGTGGTAGGTCAATGATATTTGGTATGCAGTTGTATTAGCATTGGCACATCTCATTACCATGGATATTATTTGGCCCCGCCCCCCTCAGTCAAGGTCTATTGACTTTGAAACTTTGCTTAGTTTACATGTATTAGTTTGTGATTAGGTCAGTTTATGGGGAACCACCAGTGGTAGGTCAATGATATTTGGTATGCAGTTGTATAAGCATTGGTACATCTCATAACTGTGGAGATTATTTGGCCTCGCCCCCTCAGTCAAGGTCTATTGACTTTGAAACTTTGCTTAGTTTACATGTATTAGTTTGTGATTAGGTCAGTTTATGGAGAACCACTAGTGGTAGGTCAATGATATTTGGTATGCAGTTGAAACTTTGAAAAATAGTTTACAAGTTAATGTTTGTGTTTAGATTTGTTTAAAGGGAACATCTTTTGAAAAGTCAATGATATTTGGTTTGCAGTTTTATTAGCATTGGCAAATCTCATTTCCATGGAGATTGTTTAGCCCTGTACAATCAGTCATGGTTCATTGACTTTGAATATTTGCATAAATTACATGTTAAAGTATTTTTATTTTAATTTCAACATTTGCATTATCAAAATAACAAATAGGCAAGACATATCTCTGTGTTAACAGTTTATTGCTTATGTGCTTTGTCTATATGTCATTTTTTTGTTGAAATATTTGTTTGTTTTTATAGTGATTAAGATTATAACACAATGTTGACTGCTGTACCCCTATTTTTGACATTTTTGTCTCGCCTTGACGGAGTCAAAAAGCGAGACATAGGTATGCTGTTTCCGGTGTTGGCGTCAGTGGCGGCGATGGCAGCGTCAACAATGTATTAGTTTGTGTTTAGGTCTAGTTCATGGTGAACCACTAGTGGTAGGTCAGTGATATTTGGTATGCAGTTGTATAAGTATTGGCACATCTCATTTCCATGGAGAATATTTGGCCCCACCCCCTCAGTCATGGTCGTTTGACTTTGAAACTTTTACATAGTTTACAAGTTAATGTTTGTGTTTAGGTTTGTTTAAAGGGAACGACTTATGATAAGTCAATGGTATTTGGTATGCAGTTATAATAACATTGGCACATCTCATTTCCATGGAGATTGTTCAGCCATGTATCTTCAGTCATGGTTCATAGACTTTGAATGTTTGCATAACTTACATGTTAAAGTATTGCTATTTTAATTTCAGCATTTGCATTATCAAAAGTACAAAAAGGCGAGACATATCTCTGTGATAACAGTTTATTTTTCTTTTCTTTCAGACATTGTTGTCAGAAAAATGGAATTATATGCGACTGTCATACAAGTGAGAGGTTTAGCTAGCTATAAAACCAGGTTTAATCCACCATTTTCTACATAAGGAAATGCATGTACCAAGTCAGGATATGACAGTTGTTTTCCATTCATTTGATGTGTTTGAGCTTTTGATTTTGCCTTTTGAAAACCAGAGGTTTTCTGTTTTGATTTTTCCTTGGAGTTCGGTATTTTTGTTATTTTACTTTTGTGTACTTCAGAGAAATTGCTGAATAGCTTTACTTTTTTACATTATTGTGTCCAATTAGCTTTAACTGGTTAATTTTGTAGCATTTGATCGATTTTTTTTTCAAATGCATTGTCAATAACATCAGTTTAATTGCTGTTGCTTGTAGATTATATGTTAGATGAACTACAGAAAGATGGATTGGATAATGTTCATGGTGAAGATGTTACTGTAAGTTTATAATCAAATAATACTCACTCACTCATTGTGTCAGTACAAGGTCAAAAAAAGATTGCAGTGCAAGGTCATTAGTGAGTAAACAGTTTGTACTGTTTTATTCACATTGACAATACAAAATCTTCAGATGGTTGTTTTGGTTGTTGCCTCTGGTATATATATACATTTGATAAAAATAGAAGATGGTTAAGGGCAAGTGGTACAAAATGGATCTTACATTGATTTTTCCTTGAAATTATGACACAAAGTGAATGTGGATATACATGTATATGCAAAGAGAAAAATACCTTCATGACTAACTTTTCCAGATATTTCAATTTAGAATTTGCACGGTTTCACATAAACATAAGTGTTCCTGTGCTCATTTTTTGGCTTAAAACAGAAAACCTAGTTTTGTAAATGCTGCAGATCCCATTTCCTTTTTTGGTCCTTATTTATGTTGCTGTATATTCTTAATGCGACCTAGACATGCAGCTATTCCTGCTTTACATTAAAATGCTACAACTATTACTTGTTTGATGACATTAGTGATTTTTCTGTTAATTTTGAATGCTTATCATTAGTAATGTTGCGAAAACAACACATTGAATTTTGACATGTTATTATCCGCCTTGCTACTGTATTGTAAGCACATAAATGTCCATACTTAGAAATCTGTGAGTTACTTGCCATTTTGGTTAGTTTTTCCAGCATCTGGGGCAAAGCAGGACATGGATGTCAATTTTCTATTTAGTCATATTCTATATTCTAATGTTTAGCCCCAACAATTGTACTAACTTGAATGTTAATGTATCTTCTGATAGAGTATAGGAGTATACAGTATATAAACTACTAATTCACAAATCATAAAATATTACCTCAAGATTAATAACAATTCTTTGAATTGAAATTGATGTGATTTGCAGTTCAGTAAGTTGTATGGACATCTTGAAAAATCTGATATCTTTAAAAAAAAAAAGTAGGTCATCCTACATTTAATACTTTGATGTCTCGAATAGCATTTATTTTTGTCTACTGTCGCAGAAAGCTGGACATAGGGATAGTGATCCGGCGGCGGCTGCGTCATTAATTAACTACTTAAAAGCTTTATATTTTAGAAGGTGGAAGACCTAGATGCTTCATACTTTGTATATAGATGCCTTATGTTATGAAGTTTCTGTCAATCATATGTTCATTGTCCTTGACCTCATTTTCATGTTTCAGTGACTACTTGAAAAAAAGTTAAGATTTTTTGTAATATTAATTTCTCTCTTATTATGAGTAATTGTATAACTATATTTAGTATGTGCATATCTGCAAGGTTCTCATGCCTGTCAGACAGTTTTCATCTGACCTCGACCTCATTTCATGGATCAGTAAACAAGGTTAAGTCCATATATCAGATACTGTAAGCAATAGGTCTACTAAATTTGGTGTATGGAATGATTGTAAGGCATACATATCCAACTGGCAGATGTCATCTGACCTTGACCTCATTTTCATGGTTCATTGCTCATTGTTAAGTTTTTGTGTTTTGGTGTGCTTTTCTTAAGCTATAAACAATAGGTCAAGTATATTTGGTTTATGTATTAAATGTGTATATGTCTGTCTGGCAGGTATCATCTGACCTTGACCTCATTTTCATGGTTCGTTGGTCAATGTTAAGTTTTCATGTTTATTAAAGTTTGTTTCTTAAATACTATAAGCAATAGGTCAAATATATTTAATGCATAGATTGATTGTCATGTATACATGTCTGCCTGGCATAGTTCATCTAAACTTGACCTCATTTTCATGGTTCATTGGTCAATGTTAAGTTTTCCTGATTAAGTTTGTTTCTTAGAAATTATAATCAATAGGTCAGCTATATTTGGTGTATGGAATGATTGTAAGGTGTACATGTATTTCCGGTTTGCATTTTCTGACCTTGACCTCAATTTCTTGGATCATGTTAAGTTTATAAGATACTTGTAGTAAAGCTTTATATTTAGGACTAGCAACATAAAATCAATGGTCAGTAAAGCTTGCGAGAAATTTCAGCGTGTGCACTCTTGTTTCTATTCAATATGTTTGTAGAGATATTTATACTATATCATTGAAACTTTGTATACTGCTGTGATAGCATTCCTACATTTCAGATGTAAGCTGAATATAAGGTTATTCTCCTTTTACTATGCTTCAGAGATTTTGGAAGCTCTGTCATGCTAAATTGACAAATAATTTTCTAATTAAGTGTGCTTACAAATAATACTTATGATACATCATTGGTTTCTTTTTTGTATTGAACTTATTTCTGATAAATTTCAAAAAGAAAGTTAGTTTGGCTTGAGCTCTTTAGTCATTTTTCAAGAAATTTAAACTAATTGCGCTGTTTGAACTTCAAGTTTCTAATCAGTTTGATTTTAAATTGCTTATAAAGGAGATGATATCCACTCCTATATACATGACTAATATCACAGTCCGTTTAATTGCTTTTTCTTATTTTTGCTTTGTGAAAAAGCAGACAAAGCCTTACTTCTGTACCAACAGTTTTATATCACATGAAGGATGTACATTTTATTAACTTTCTGAATTTTTTGAAGGGAGAGAAGGATTTGGAAATTTGGGTTTCACAAAACATTCACTGTCTATATTTTATAACTCTTTTGGATACATATATTTTTTAGGTTCCACACTGGGTTAGGGGAGAGGAATATGCTACAATGCTTGAGCCTAGAAATCACAATCTGGCCATGCTAGGTCTAGGATCCAGCATAGCTACACCAGAAGATGGTATAACAGCTGAGGTTTTAGTTGTACGCTCCTTTGATGAGTTACATCAGAAAGCTGGTCAGGTAACTTCTTTATAACCACCTAATCAGGTAACTTCTTTATAACCACCTGATCAGGTAACTTCTTTATAACCACCTGATCAGGTAACTTCTTTATAAACACCTTATCAGGTAACTTCTTTATAAACACCTTTAAGTACATATTTCAGTGGTAAATAGATTTACCTACTGCAGTAGGCTAAAATATTTTATTGTACAGCTTACTTTAAATTTATTTGAATTGATTTTAGAAATAGATGTCTGCATGTAGCCCTTTTTAATTTCCTTAAAACTGATTTAGGGATAAAAAAGAAATCAGTAAAAATTTAAATTTTCTACAACTACATTTCTGATTATGATAACCTCGCAGGGATATTCCAAAAACATATGTAGTGTTTATATAGCTGAAGGGTGAAACCAGTTTTTTCTCTTTTTTGTCGAGTCTATAGATGCCTTATGATATGAAGTTTCCGTCTGTCATATGTCCATTGTCCTTGCCCTCATTTTCATGGTTCAGTGACTACTTGAAAAAAAAGTTAAGATTTTTTGTAATGTTAATTTCTCTCTTATTATGAGTAATAGGATAACTATATTTGGTATGTGCTTACCTTGCAAGGTCATCATGCCTGTCAGACAGTTTTCACTTGACCTCGACCTCATTTCATGGATCAGTGAACAAGGTTTAGTTTTCGTGGTCAAGTCCATATCTCAGATACTATAAGCAATAGGTCTACTATATTTGGTGTATGGAATGATTGTAAGGTGTACATGTCCAACTGGCAGGTGTCATCTGACCTTGACCTCATTTTCATGGTTCAGTGGTCATAGTTTAATTTTTGTGTTTGTGTCTGTTTTTCGAATACTGTATGCAATAGGTCAACTGCATTTGGTGTATGGAAATATTTTATGATGTACATGTCAGTCTGGCAGGTTTTATTTGACCTTGACCTCATTTTCACAGTTCATTGCTCAATGTTAAGTTTTTGTGTTTTGGTCTGTTTTTCTAATACTGTATGCAGTAGGTCAACTATATTTGTTGTATGGAAATATTTTACGATGTACATGTCAGTCTGGCAGGTTTCATTTGACCTTGACCTTATTTTCACAGTTCATTGCTCAATGTTACGTTTTTGTGTTTTGGTCTGTTTTTCTTAAACTTTAAGCAATAGGTCAACTATATTTGGTGTATGGAATGATTGTAAGGTGTATATCTCTTGTCTGGCAGGTATCATCTAACCTTCACCTCATTTTCATGGTTGATTGGTCAATGTTCAGTTTTCCTGGTTAACTTTGTTTCTTAGATACTTTAAGCAATAGGTCAACTATATTTGATGCATGGAATGATTTTAAGGTGTACATGTCTGTCTTGCAGGGTTCATCTGACCTTGACTTCATTTTCATGGTTCATTGGTCAGTATAGAATTTCCATGGTTTTGTCTGTTTCTTTTATACTATAAGCAATAGGTTATCTATATTCTGTGTATGGAATGATTGTATTAAAGGTGTACATGTATTTCCGGCTTGGTTTATCTGACCTTGACCTCATTTTCTTGGATAATATGTTAATGTGATACTTGCAGTAAAACTTTATATGTAGGACTATCAACATAAAATCAATGGTCAGTATAGTAGGTGAGACATTTCAGTGTGTGCACTCTTGTTATGATTTCTGTAACCTAAAAAAATTGTCTTAGCATTTAATTTTAAAGGCAGTCAACACCCCTCCATCTCCATTACATGCCTTTCAAAAACTCTCATCTGCCATTTAATATACTTTTCTACATTTTTCAGGCCAAAGGGAAGATAATTGTATATAATCAGAAGTGGGTCAAGTATGGTATTTCTGTGGAGTACAGATCACATGGTGCTGTGGAGGCAGCTAAAGTTGGTGGTGTGGCATCATTGATAAGGAGTGTTACTCCATTATCTATTAATAGTCCACATACTGGGTGGCAGGTACGTTTGTGTAAATATAACCATCACTTAAAAACATTGAATTCTTTGTCATTTGCTAATTTGTAATTAAATACATGATATATTTTTTCCCTTGTTGCCTTGTATCCAACTGATATCTGAATATTTGCATTGTTTAAGATCAAATATCTTGGACAGTTGATGTTTTAACACTATTACCATTTGGAGGTATACTCATATAGATATCCCAGTCTTAGAAACATGATCTTTGAATTTATAAAATCTAGAAAAGCCAGTTCTAGCATTTAACCCCTTGTAAAATATAAAATTCCGCTTAGTGAGGCTCCCGCAGGGTCAAAAACGACCTGCGACCTCCGGGCTTTTAAGAGGTGACTTTCGACCTGAGGGCCTTCTAAAAACGACCTGCGACCTGTAAAATTTGGAAAAAACGACCTCCGACTTCACAAATGGTAAAAACGACCTTGCCATCTGTCACACTTTTGTATACTTTATTATACTCCACTACACGCAGTAGAGAAGTATTACATGGTTGGGTATCCGTCCGTACTTCCATCTGTCTGACCGTCCCATGGTGGTATCCAGATGAAAACTTGAGAACAGATCAAAGATTTATTTCATTTGTTCCCAATTGTTTAGCACTATAAAGTACAAGTTAAGTTCGATTTTCATCTTAAATCAACATGCAGTTTTCAAATAATCAATTTTGAACTATTTGTGACCCTTTTTGTATCTATAGTCGGTTACAAGTCTTCATTTCATTGTTTCTAGAGCCTGATAAGCTATCAAATTGTCAAATTATGATCATTTTTGGACCATTTTTGTTTCTTAAAAAAGATTTAAGTTGGTCTGGGTTATTGCTTCAAATACATTATGGACACTATGGGCGATGGTCATCACTAGCCCATAGGGCGTCTCTGTGTGTGCTCCAAAGAGACAAATGTATCCAAGTAAGGTTGATGATCAGTTTCATGTATTATGTTCCGACAACATTGTTGCGGTAAATATAGTTTTTCGGTCTGTTCGTCCATCCGTTCGTTCGTCAGTTACACTTTGGTTTACCTTTGCGTTTAAGATGATTTCCTTAAAAGTTTCAAGTCGAATCTTCATGAAATTTTGTACCGTACTCTTTATCTATCATGATATGGTCTAACAACTGTGTAAAAATGGGGGAGTTCCATCGAAAATGGAAATAAGCGCTGAGCGGAACACCCCTGTCTTCAAGACATTTCCTTGCTGCCATCAGTCGTGTTCAAAGTATCTCAGTAGGTAAATCCAGCTCTACATCCCTGGTTATTTTATAAGAGTTCTGGGGACTTGCTCAATATGAATATTGTGTTGGATTAGTGAAATACTGAATGTTTGGTTGAAACTACTTTTCTGAAAAATCGAAAAGTTCAAGTCCTGTTTTGGTCTCAATATGGAAAAGAACGGATATGGGTTAATGGCACGAAGACATCACATATTGATCATTAAATGCCACACAAAAATAAATCTAGAGCTGACGACACGAACTTCAATAGAGCAGGAACTTCCCACTTACAGACAGCCATCTCTGGATGGCCTCAAACAAAACAAGAACAACTGAACCCAAGGGCACTGCAAAATGTCCAATATCTAATTTAAAACTAAAAGGTTTAATCAGGAACATATATGTCACTGGTTTAATAACATGAGAATCGACACAACAATGACTTAAATGGATCCTTTAAATATAAAAACACCTTCCGACCTCTATGTTAAAAAAAACGACCTGCGACCTGTACATTTCCCTTAAAAACGACCTCGCGACGAATTTAAAAGCGACCTTGCCACCTGAGGGGGGTACCCTGTGGGAGCCCCCTTAGTGTCTTATTCGTTTGAAGGTTTTGATTGTTATAGAGGATGAAACTGAATGAATGAATAATGAGGAAATCTGGTTTTGACAGGATTATGATAATAATGTAAAAAAGATCCCTACTGCCTGTATAACTGTAGAAGATGCTGAAATGATGGACAGAATGCAACAGAGAGGTAATTGATGTAAAAGTATTACAGTTTTTACTTTTTTAAGTGAATGGTTAAACCAAAATACATAACGTAGGAGTTGTCTAAATTTTGAAAAAAAAGATTTTGTATTATACCATCTCTAGGAGTGGGGCTACATTGTATTCAAAGGCCAATTTAGGGGTGGGGCAGGGGGACTCCCTTTATGGAGCTACATATATAATATAAATGCATAGACTTTTTACAAGTTTCACTCAAATGTTGGCCTTCTAGGGGCCCTCCCTTTTTAAAATCCTGGATCTATACCTGATAATCAACATGACTGTCTGCTCATCCATTTATTTTCCTTCCATTCATTCAACAAATATTTTCATCATTCTTTCTCAGAAACTACTGAACAGAATGACTTAATATTTGTTCAACAGCTGGACAGTGATGAGTTTTAGGGGGTGAGTTTTTTCGGATCTGTCAGACACCTACTTCCTGTGTTCTGATAATTTGAAATACAAGTAAGGGTATATAATGTTTTACAACAATATGTGCATTCATTCTTGTTTTAACTAAAGAATAATTACTGATAATGCATTTTAGTTTTTAGTTAAATATAAATTATTTAAGTCATAGTATAAATTATAGTTTAAAGTATACATAAAGCAAGTACATGTACATCTATTTAGGTTATAAGATAGTGGTGAAGTTAAAGATGAGTGCCAAAACATTACCTTCAGTGACATCCAGGAACACTATAGCAGAAATCAAAGGCAGTACCTATCCTGAACAGGTAATGGTCACCTACCTGATTTGGACCCTGAGTTCAATTTTCCTTATCACTCTGGCATTTAATTTGAAAATTGATACATTTTATACATTTGATATAAATTATGGGTTAGAAAAAAAATATTTCAGTGTATTTTTCTTTGTGAATATCAAATGACAACCAGTGGACATCTTACTACTTCCATATCAATTATCAATGTGACATTTATATGAAGGATTATTGTCTTTTAAATTGATTTAACCTCTGATACAGTTTCCAGTGAAAAAAATGAGAATATATCTCATTGTTGGGTGTTAAATGGGGGACAAATGGTTCCTTTCTAGATTATTTGTTTATTTTGATTAAATTATGTTGTTTGATTACTGTTTCATTGATGTGTAATAGAGAGAATACTGACATAAAGAGGTCTTGTTATCGGACTCCTTTTAAACTTACATCCCAGCTCCTTTGTTCTACCAGGGGTGATCTGAGCCTGATCATCCCTACCAGATCACCCCAGCTTGAGTTTCTTTGTTTTGCATGCTTTCCTTTGTTTTGAAACATTTTGGGAGGAATAAAATTTAGAATTATATATTGAGAAAAGACACACTTTCAAAATTTATGTAGAAAAAATCCATTATCTATGCTCGGATTCGAACTCAAGACCTTTAGCATATCAACCCACGACACATACCCCTACACCAGGACGACTGGATACCAACTCTCAGAAATTTAACATATTTAAAGGAAGCAAGATATTTTTTTAAGTGGGGCGAGTTGGCAGACCTTTATTCAGTGTGATTTTAACCCTTTTCATAAATAAGGCGAGTTGTCAGACTGATTGTTCAATGGGATTTTACCCTTTTTCATAAGTGGGGCGAGTTGGTAAACAAGAGTGGGGCAATTTTTTAGAAAGTGGTGATTTAGTGTGGGCCGAATGGCCATTGGGGCGAGTTGACATGGTTTCATGATAAACATCGTGTTCGGGGGTCATAAAGGGTATATATTATATAATAATATATAACTTATATTATAATGGTTGTGTGGCGTCCTAAACTAGATTTTATGAATTGTAAATGGTTTTTCGTCTAATCTAAAACAGCTGGGATGTAAAATAGTTATCCCATTCGGACTTGGTGTGTCAGTGTTAGATCACCCTCTGGCCTCCGGCCATCGGGGGATCTTACACTGACACAACGCGTCCTCATGGGATAACTATTACTGAATTTTACTGTGTGTATTGCTGTGTGTTTGTTTATTCCACATTGGCTAAAGGTATAGGGGAGGGGTTGAGATCTCACAAAATATGTTTAACCCCGCTGCATTTTTGCACCTGTCCCAAGTCAGGACCCTCTGGCCTTTGTTAGTCTTGTATGTTTTTTTTATTTTGGTTCATTTATATGTTTATGAGTTTAGTGTGACGTCCAATTTGGCTGAAATAGTTAATATACATTATTGTTTAGGGGCCAGCTGAAGCCCGCCTCAGGTTGCGGGATTTTCTCGCTGTGTTGAAGACCCATTGGTGGCCTTGGGCTGTTTTCTGCTCTTTGGTCAGGTTGTTGTCTCTTTGACACATTCCCTGTTTCCATTCTCAATTTTACTCTAAACACAATAGCTTCAATGGAGCTTTTGTTAGTTGAAGTGTCTCACTGATGCTTATTCCACAATGTCCACATCATCTTTTTATTATTGAATGTTGGCACTGTTTAATACATTTTCATGAAATGATAATGTTAAACTACAAAAATACTACCATCGTTGATGAAGCCAGAAACCATCTTATCTAACAGCTTTGTTTTTGTCTGACAGATTGTGTTGGTCAGTGGACATTTAGACAGTTGGGATGTAGGACAAGGTGCTATGGATGATGGTGGTGGAGCATTTATATCATGGCAGGTATGTACAGCATATTATGTTTTAGTCCTTTAGAATTTTAATTGAATGATGTATATAGCCATTTAAAATTTCAATTATTTGAACAAATTTCTTTTCTGTTGTTTATATTTATATTGACTTAACAAAACTTTTTCAAGAGAATTTGATTAAGTTAGACCAAATAAATGCTATGTTGATAGTATCTAGTATCTATGACCCTTTTAATTGTGTAGAATTCAGGCAAGTGCCTCTTACAAAAGATTGGTACTTACACTGATTTACACAAAAATTTGCAATTTGAACTGGAGCTGATGAGATCAAATTGATCAGTTGGGAAAAACATCAAAGACTGCTAATTCTTTTTTCATTTAGGCACTATCATTGATCAAGCAGTTAGGATTACGACCAAAGAGAACAATTAGACTGGTGATGTGGACTGGCGAGGTATACACTATGTTCTGTTTCCATATAATTTTAGAAGGTTTTTTTAAAATTTTTATAAAAAAATAAAAATTGATAATTTTATAGTAATTTCATACGTTCACTCCAGCACCTGAATACTGTATGAACGAATTTTAATCTTTTACTGTTGACCAAAATACTTTTTTCATTGGTTTATTACATTGTTTTTAATGTATAGACCCTGAAACCTCAAATTACAAAAGTAAAAACACTGTTTTTTTTCACATCCTGCAAAAATTGGAATCACCATGCCTTTTTTAAAGTTAAATAGATAAAGCCAAAATTAAGCTGTCAGTGACATATTTCAACAAAAATAAGTTTTATGAACCATTTCTTTAAAGGAAGAAGGTGGTTTTGGTGGCAATGAATATTACAACAGACACAAAGTAAGTATACTTTATAATACAGATCACATGTATGGAAAATGTAAGGTAAATATCAATTAGACAGCAACCTAACAAGACAAGTTAATCCAAATAAAAATCTAGAGGTCACCATATGTCCTTGAACAACTGACAAGCACTGAACTGCTTTAGGAAAGTAACATCTAAAAGAGACATCAAACTCAAAAATTGAAATCTTCTAAAAATATCTCCATCTTTCTACACTTGTCTTTGTTAAAAGATGTGACATTTGTTTTTTGAAGTCACATTGGTCATCTGGAATATTCAGAAAATAAATATACTTAATTGCCATAAGTAAGGGGAATTCAGAGTTACGGCAATAAAAGCGCTGTTCCTTTGCTTATTGTGTGTTTTTTTGCTGTGCATGTACTGATTTTGTGTTATGGATGGATACCCCATATCCTTTGTTTTTCTATTACAGGGATTTTTTAGCAAAAATTCTTCAATTAAAAGACTATATTATATTTCCACAAAAGATAAATGAAAAAATTAAATGCACCAAAAATATTATTATTTTGCACATTTTATAGAAACAAATATATACTTTTTTTTGTCTTATATGGTAAAAACAAGAATAGGCATATTAGCAATAATAAGCATAATATTAATATTATTAGTGATAATTAAGATTGAATACACCCTATTTTTTTATGATATAAAGGTTAATTTGCAATGGCAGTATATTTCATCACTTCTATTTTCAGAAAGATATAGCTAATTATGATATGGTTTTAGAATCAGACGAGGGTACATTTACAGCACTAGGAATGAATTTTCAAGGTACATTATCCATAATGGCTCTAATTATGCAATTTAAGAATATCAATGTGATGAGCTAGATAGTTTTTATAACAGTGCAAATACCTAAGTATTGTGAGAGTAATGTTATTGAAGGATGCTTATGTAAAATCTTTTATATGAAAAAAAAATTTACTTCAAATTATACGTCACACTAGAATAGAGAATGGTCACGGGATTGTATCAGAGAGACAACAACCCGACCAAAGAGCAGAAAACAGAACAACTAGTATATTTTCTTTAATACAATGTAGGATTATACCGATACATTTTTAGGAAACCACAAAGCTATGGAAATAATGGGTTCCATTGTTGATTTATTAAAACCTATCAATGCCACAGCTTTAAAGAAAGGAGGTGGAGGTGAAGATATAACTCTGTGGATGAATGCAGGAGTTCCTGGTGGCAGTTTAATGAATGCTAATGAAAAATACTTTTATTTTCATCATACAGATGGTAATTATCTCCCTTTATAATACATTCTATTTGCATACTGGTGGGTACTTTCTTTTATACAAAATTGCATGGATTTGTAATAAAAAAGTGTAAAGGAGATTTTTTATAGAGAGTTGTTTTAGTATGGAGGTTAAAAAATAATATCAAGTAACATTTTATCTTGGCATATGCCTAGTCTTTCTTGCTTGCAAAGTAGATAGGCAAATTGAGCAATGTATCAAATTTTGCAAAATATGGCTTGAATTTAAACTTTATCATACAATATGAAAAAAGGCACCAATTTTGTTCTAAAATGGATCTATTTCAAAAGCCTAACTTCTAAGTAAAACAAATCACTTCATCATGTTACATAATGGACTCCAAAGTCAACAAATATTGGAGATCTTTTAAAAATATGATGATATTATGCATTTTTCTATACTAAAAGCTTAAGGAAAACTTTGGCTGCAATCTACGTTCTGTAAGGAAAAGGTGCCAAGGTTAATGATGCATCAATTGACACACAAAAATTGAAGATTGGGGATGGCAGCCAAGGGTAATTTTGCTAAAATCTATTATAAATTTTGAAAAAAAATGGACCAAAACAAATGTTACAACACAACTTATGCATGATTTGGAGGTCATAACTTTGTAATTAATTGTGAGGGGCTAACAAGAAGTTTTTTGTATAAATAGTAATATTACAATTAATTCTATGTGAAATTTGTAATATGTTGGTCTGATTGAAAAAATGAAAAAAATATTTGGGCCAATTTTAGCTCCTTTGCATGTAATTATAATTTTTTATGCAAATCTAAACCAGTATTGAATATTTCAGGTGATACAATGACAGTACAGGATCCTGTGGCAATGAACCTCTGTTCAGCAGTTTGGGCTGTTGTGGCTTATACTGTTGCTGACCTAGAAGAAATGCTACCTAGATAAATATTTATCTCTAAAAAATATCTTGTTAACTTAAATTGCTGATCTTGAAGAAATGTATCCCAGATAATTATTTATCTCTAAAATTTATCTTGTTAACTTTGTTGATCTTGAAGAAATGCTTCCCAGATGAATATTTATCTCTAAAATTTATCTTGTTAACTTAAATTGCTGATCTTGAAGAAATGTATCCCAGATAATTATTTATCTCTAAAATTTATCTTGTTAACTTTGTTGATCTTGAAGAAATGCTTCCCAGATGAATATTTATCTCTAAAATTTATCTTGTTAACTTAAATTGCTGATCTTGAAGAAATGTATCCCAGATAATTATTTATCTCTAAAATTTATCTTGTTATCTTTGCTGATCTTGAAGAAATGCTATCTAGATAAATATGTATCTCTAAGAACTATGTATATTTAATCTATAAGATAATCAATTTTAACTGTATAAAATTCATGCATTTAATGTTCAGGATTATGCTCATTGTGATAGAGACTGTTCTGTTACTCACTCACGGTAATTGAAAAATTAAAAACATTTTTTTATTATTCAAGTCTTACCTGAAATTTATATGAACATGTCTATTCAGTTTTATGATTTATTTATGTGCTAATGTATAAATAGAATAATACAAATTATCTCTACTTTGTAAGTAGCCATTTGTGTGTTGAGGAATTTATGAATTAGAAAATTTTTATGAAACAAATTAGAAAAATTCAGACATGCCAACTTATCCAATTTGTGTGGGATTATTCCCAATGAAGATGTTGACCTGACTCTTGAAATCTCCTCTATTTTACTCAAAAAGGATTTCAAAATGGTTAAAATGGCATTTAAGCACATATATAATCATTCAAGGCCTTGTGTATTAGATTAGGATGTGTAAAGAGATATATAAGGTCCTCTTGTTCATAAATTCCACATGAAGATTTTGGCCCTCCTTTTCTTTAGGGGAAAAATCCCATATCAAGCTATACTTAAGTAACCCTGACATAACATTTGCTCTACCATAATTGTACCTTACAGTTATCCTTAAAGTAAAGAAAGTCAGATTTTGAGAAGTTGGTAGGTATGTATAATTTAGGTATCATCGATGAACAAAATCATGGTATATTAGCTTTTATATTAGATTCCTTATGAAGTTTTCTTGTTAATTTTTTTTTTGTATACAAGTTATGTATTTAAAATGTGATTTATTTGTTTATTTATTGTTTGCACAATTTGCCTTTTGTACAATAGTTTCAGTCCTGATCAATGTAATTTTTTCAACCGGATATGGCAACAATTTGAGAAAGGACCATGCAGTATCTAAGGTTAAAAAAAGTATTTTTTTATACATGAAATTGTCTACATTCCTTATAATTGTTATATAATAGTATCATTAGTAAATGTGTTGTTTCATTTTAATTTATTATAAGTTATACTATGTTTTAAATTGACATATAATTCATGGAATTTTCATAATGGTTTAAATACTTTAATACATTGGAGTACTGTGATTTCATTTATTTTTGTGGATATTTAATTTCATGGTTTTGCAAAAGTCTGCATACAAGCCTAGAGAAATATGTACTTATTTTGTACATAAATCAGGCTGTAAGAACCCCCCTTCTTTTTGGTGATCAATGCTTTTGAATGGGGAGATATGGTTTGAAACCCCCCCCCCCCCCTCCCCCTTTATCCTGGGTTGGAACCCCCCTTTTAAAAATGGCTGAATCTGCCCATGTATTGTCATACAAAGTTTGCATTTTTTATATGTATTGTATATGAGACTATTGATTATTTTCATGACCTGTCTTTGAATCTCAAACTATCTTTATTTAACTGGTCTTGGAGGGCAGCGGAAGCATTTTTAAGAGAGCATAAGGGGAAATCAAAAATCTAAGTGATTATATTGATCATTTTAGAGAAACTTAATTTACATTTCTTAGCTAGTTCTATCTAAATTTTTTATATAAAAAAAGATTGTCTTACAGAGTTAACAAAATTAAAGCAGTCCTAAGTAACAAGAAATAAGTGTGTATAAAAAGAAAACAGTTTTACCTTTACTCCTCCATGCAAAAAAATCTAAAAATGCCCAAATCCTCTTTTATATATGAAGGTGTTAAATTTATTTCAAATTGAAATACTCTGTATTCTGATAGCAACATGGGTAAGAATACTTACAAAAAAAATTAAAGTATGATAAATATTTTTATTTTCATCTTACAGATGGTAGTTATGTCCCTTTATGATAAAGAATTCTTATAACAATTTTAAGGATCTATAAGGTTTTTTTTGTATATTAAAATTTCTAACAAATTACTCTATTTCTTTAAATTATTAAACTACCCGAGGTTTTAAGACAACCTCAGTATACTACAGTATCCATCCAGCTTGTACTGTTAGAAGGTGTTGGTTCACTCGTGTATATCTTTAAATTAGTGTTAACTTTTATAAAATATGGTTGATAAATTGCTTCTGCATTTCAAGATCTTTTTTGTCTCATCTCTGACAAATGCTGCAGACAGCAAGACAGTTCTTTCATCAGTGGCAACAATGACAGTATAACTTTTACAATGCTTTTTCATTTTAGAAGAGCTAGTTCATTTCATATTTTTAAAAATACCTTAGGCTCTGAAGTTTTTGTCTGGCAAATGTCAGCTTTCCTGAACTTCATTCAACAAAGACACACACCATAATATCTCTGTTTAAGTTTTCATGATGTGGTGGTTATTCTCAGAAATTGGAATGTCTAATTCCACAACATAATCTTTTATAATAACTTAGATGTTTCACTTGAGGTCTAAGTCCATCAAACTCAAAGCTTAATTCATGTTTCAGAGTTCAGTAACTCATGTTTAGTTTTTTTTGTTTTAGCCAATATATGTTATTACAAAGTTATCATTTAGAATCACCAAATTATGTACTGTGTAAATAGCTGCCTAACAGGGGTCACTTGATAATCATATTGACCTTGTTTCATTGTCAAGTGAATCACTTTGTAGATTGGTCAGTTTCTCAGCAACTTTCAGTAATAGGTCAACCATATTTTGCCTACTTGTTCATAGTCAGGCATACCGTGGATTCATAATCATTAATGGGATACCAAATTTCATGGATTTCTTCAGCATAGGTGAACCATTAATTTAAATGTTTAATGAAGTACAAGTTTTTTATAGGCATGTATGCAGACTTTTTATGATAAGGTCAGTTTTTATGAATCTCCGTGTAAGTCTAATTCGTGTTTGTGGAGATAGACCTTGTACCAGTCTTTCCACTCCAATCTTGTTAATAATCTGAATGCTTATTATGACTTTTATAAATTTAATAAAATCATATATTTTCTGAACACATGATTTTGTACTCTTTTAAGATTTTATGAAGAGTATTTCAGAGTCCATTTAATTCAAATGTATGAACATCTCCTTATGGTTAGAATCATTGTGAATTAAGTGTATAATTCAGCGAGAAAGAACAGCTCTCATGCCTTAGTCTTTAATGCAGTTTTCCTTTGCATATTCTTTCCATTGCTAACAATTGTCTCAGTGGTCTCATTGTGGAAGGCAAGTGTTAAATATTGTGGGTTTAAAAACAAGACTTTAAAATCTGTATCTGCTGCCACTCTACCAAGCACTCATTGTTCAGGACTCTTGGTTCCTAAACAGAGTAATATGACTATATAGGTTGATATGTCTTCATGCAAATTATTGTTACCATGTGAGCTAGCACAATATTGTCAAACACAACATGTTGGTCTAGTTCAAGTAATATCTGTTGGTTGATGTTAAATAGCCAATCAACCAATTGATAAGGCACTAACCATTCAACTTTGAAGGGGGTGGAAGCATGGTGATCTTTAAAAAAAAAATTTTTCAAAATTTTTTGAAAAGAATAAGTTGTTTCCGAAGGGAAAAAAATAAAAAAATGCTTGTTACATTGAAAATTATGTACATATAAAATTTTTTCCATCAAAAATATTCTTTATCCTGTATGGTATTACTTATAAAAATAAAAATAAAAATGTCCCCATGCATCCCCCACCCCCCTGAATCCTGCCAAAGAAAAAAAAATATAAATGGTTGATGCTCTTCTGACTTGATATTTGCATTTGCAAAAAAAAAAAGGAAGGTATATGCAAATTTTAATTCACTACTTCCAACTTATGAATATTAAACTATTAAAAAAAACAGACATATCAAGAAATAATATCAATATCATTTTTCAATTAACATTATGAATAATTGTATGTAACTATAATCAAACAAAGACATAGGTTTGGGTGATGTACAAAAAAAAAACTTGTTTAACCCGCAACACACTCATGTGTCTAGCCAAGTCAGGAACTGCTTAAGTGGTTGTATCTTGGTAAATTTTAAATGTTTTTAGTCATTTAGTGAGTTTGTTTTTGATGGCAGATCTTTTATAGTATCGTTAATTTTATTCATAATGATTTAAGATTCTTAACGATATAGAGCTTGACACATTTTATAGACACCTGTTTATTGGCAAAGACAGTATATTGTTCTCTATGGTGTTTTTGTGTCCTTGGATGGCTGGCTTATTGATGTATTATACCTCAATATTTTTTTTTTATCTATATACAAAGTTGTACATCTATACTACTAAAAGAAGAGACGATTTCATTGAGCCGCAACTCCTCTGAAACCATACAAAGTCGGAAATATTTGTGATATGACATATAAATGTAGTGCTTTGTACTTCCTAAATTTGTCTTTGAAACAATCTTTTTTCCACAGAAAACGCCAAGTTTTGAGAAAATACCCAAATTCGGAGACCATTAGCAATCTGTGTCTTATATTCTTTCGCGCATGATCAGTCGACATATCAAAGAATTCAACTTTATATATAACTAATATAGGACAATGGTGTTGATTAAAAATTACACCATTCCAGGCCCTTTTGTTTTCCACATAACTAATATTATCAATAATTAACAACTTCCGGGTCGATACAGATACCAAAGGTATATGTCACCTGTTACCTATTACGTTCCGCATCTGTCAGGCGCACTACCGTTTGCTATATACACGGGTCATTAACACACCTAAACTTCATCATTATACAGGGTTGACATTACTAAATTCAATCATTGTCACATTGTTTCCGTTTGTAGTTTTTTAATCAGTTTTACTTATAAGATAACAATACACATACTAAAAATCTAGACTTGAAATAAAGGGGTAGGTACAGTTTCAAATTTGTAAGCCGGCATAACGTAAAAACAGCGAATTAAAGAATTCAACTTTATATATAACTAATATAGGACAATGATGTTGATTACAAATTACACCACTCTAGTCCCTTTTGTTTTTCAAATAATAAATACTACAAATAATTAATAAGATCTAGGTCGAAGGGTTCAAACAGAGAGATTTTAAAAGCAGAGAAAACCGTGCCTCTTATAATCAACATGACTTTATCATATGACAATACCAATACTAAAAATCCAGATTAAAAATAAGGCTTGTACATGATTAGATACACAATTCAGTCACAGACATGGATGTCACGGTTGTGGTCTAGTATAATTAAAAGGAGCTTAATCACCATTGCAATTAATTTTGTATGACAGAGTTGCAACCTTAGTTCTTAAAGAATTACAAAAAAAAACAAAGAAATTATCAATATGAATGCAATGAATTATGTCCTATGCCAAAACACTGATCACTGTGTAGCATCACCACCGGATATAGGCACCCCGAAGCGGTGGGAAAAAAAATGTGAAGTCAGGTATTATTCTACTATCTGCTAACAATTTTGTGATATCGATTCCTAACAAAGTAGCTACTATTGAGGGCTGATTATGATCTTTAATTTGCTTTCTCTCTCTTCAAATCGTCACAATCGGACCAGATGGTACCTGTTCAAAGATGCATGTGACCAGTTCAAACTTGTTTAAACACATTTATCCTTCAACTATTCATTGTGACATTTATGAAGAACAAATTTGTACCATATTCAAGCTTCAACAACACTATATTTTGAAATATACTATTGTTCGCAGAGAAATTCATGTAAATAAAGCGGATAAATTGTACGGCCGATAGTTTTTTACTGTACGGAGAGTAGAATAGATTTGTTTCGCTTCGGGGAACCTATATCGGGTGGTGATGCTACACAGTGTTGATGTGCAGTAGATAACTCGGAGAATAAAAAATGTAGTGATTTTCTACTTTTAAGGCAATGCACTTTGCTGGATTAATTTCATCAGGAAAACTTGCGGCCAAAAGTTGGCAAAGCAAAAAATGTATTAATAGATGTACACATGTAAACCCAGGCAATAAAAAAGGCTTAAAAAAGAGTACAACATTTTTTAGGTTCATATTGATTTGATCTTTAATAAATATGACACAGAAACTATTTCAAAACTTATACATGTATCAAATGTGGCCATATCTTCAAAATATAACACCCAGACAAGGATATGACACACCTTCAGGAACAGCTATGAGAAATTTGACTTGTATAAATTACATTCATTTATTTATTAAAATTCTTCCTGAACATACCAACAGTACTATTAAATAGTTTTGGCTGAAGAAAGTCTCCTTTACATTCCACACTATAAAACAGCCGGCTGCCTTTTATTTTAAATGAAACATCTTTATTTTCTTCCCCAGGCTCTGGCAGAACAGTACATGTCATATTACTAAGCGGTACTATCATCTCTTTAGTTGATAAGAAGGGTCCATATGTATGAATTCTGACTTTTTGTCCTCCTGCTAAAAGCCATATGTTTTTGCATGTGTGCGCTGGAACCTGGTGACCAATAAATGTAAAGCCAAATCCTGTAATTATATAAAACATGTTAGATTTTTTTTTCTAAGTTACAAGGAAATAAGCTTATTCTGAGAAAGGTCCTGGAGCCCTTTAAAATATTCTGTTGATACCTGTATCTTGGCATTGCACAAGGTCATGTTTTTCTCTGACTGTTTATGACGTCTTTACACTAAATCCATTGGATGTTGGATGTGTACGGATTGATAATTTAGTCTTAGATGCATGATTTTTTTTATCAGTTGTTAGTGGCTTTGAACTAGCTGTCAGTAACTGTGAGTACTCTCAGATCTCTACTTAGCGTCTTTTTGTTGTTTGGATGTACAAATACCCGACCACATTCACTTGTATTTGTAGTATTTGTATTTTTATCCATCTGATGAGTTAAGCCTCTTTCAACTGATTTTTATAGTTCGTTCTTATGTTGTACTGTTACACCACTGTCCCAGGTTAGGGGGAGGGTTGGGATCCGACTAACATATTTAACCCCGCCACATTCTGTATGTATGTGCCTGTCCCAAGTCAGGAGCATGTAATTCATATTTGTTTTTCGTTAATTTTTTGTACATAAATTAGGCCGTTAGTTTTCTCGTTTGAATTGTTTTACATTGTCATTTGGGGGCCTTTTATAGCTGACTGTGCGGTATGGGCTTTGCTCATTGTTGAAGGCCGTACGGTGACCTATAGTTGTCAATTTCTGTGTCATTTGGTCTCTTGTGGAGAGTTGTCTCATTGGCAATCATACCACATCTTCTTTTTTATATTATGACAAAAAATTATAGTTGTGACATACAATTGATGTTTATCATATGATTTTTTTTCATAAAATTTCTTCTGGAAACATTTATATCAATTTTTGCAGGTCTATTCTATCTATTCAAAGGTCAATGGAACAACTAAGCATATCAAACAAAATTTATTACTCAAGCATGTTTAATTACAATAAACTTAAGGTTAGAAAGTTTAAAATACATACCGGGCGGGTATCTTTTAACCCTTTAACCTGTCTGGTATCAGAGACAAAAAAATACACCTCCATTTCCACTCACTTAACCTACCCCTATGTTTGGTTATACACTTAAGCTTTATAAGACACCTTATCATATGGCATGACTACATATGTACATATAGCTGTTGAAGTCAAAATTTTCCACTCCAAAACAGAGGTAAAAAAAAATTAAAATTGCATGGGTCTACCACAACTTTTTGAAATATGTTACATGTAGTAAAATTTAAGTACCAGTATTTTATCAGTTGCCTGTTTAATTTTCTTTAGCAGTCTTGAGCTCATAGTTATCGTTGTTAACTTTTACAAAAATCTTCTCCTCTGAAACTAATGGGCTAAATTTAACCAAACTTGAAAACAAACATCATTGGGGTATCTAGTTTAAAAAAGGGCCAAGGATAAGTTGTTGGAGTACTGGGTTCCTAATGAGAAAAGCTGTGTGTTTACCTGCAAGACCAATTATAGTAAGAAGTGCAGTCTTATTTTTATTTCTCCAGAATATATTGTTCTTCCACCATCTGGTCTCATCAGGATCAGGCGCTGGG